TGTACGCAACTTGTATGACCGTGGAGAATGAGTCGCTATCTTGCAGTCAGCTTGCGGGTCATGGCGATTCATCGCCGGTCCCCGTCGCACGGTGGCATAAGCTGTTGACTGCTGGTGCAAGCTCCTAGTGTCGAGAAGCCGCTCTGTTCCTGATGGAGCCGGGCGATGGGCACTACTGACGAGTTCCGATAGGGCGAAACGGTTGACAAGTTCTTTTCGGGACTAGGGGGAGACGACCTGACTTGGAAGATACTGCAAGGAACCCTCAAGGAATACGAAAAAGCTGTGAGATGGATTCACTGGTTTGCAGAAGAATAAAACAGAACTCAGGCAAACAATCCAGATTGAGCTACAACCAAGAAGAAAGCATAAGTTGAATATGGAAACGAAAGAACACAGCTGGCATGACGCCACGTCAGTGAACGAGAGGCAAAAAAACCTAGGATACTAGGAAGCTAAAAAGGGAAAATGGCAGGAAACTCCGACGATCTGCATCGGTAACCATGGTTCCCGGAACAAGCTCATGAACAAAGCGTCACAATTTGTGACTGTAATTGAGCAAATCTGCTCCCTGAGGATCGTTTACCTGGAGTTGAACCTATAGATTAGACTGAGCTGTTGACGAAGTGCCCTGGCGTGACGAGAACGTAGTATTCATGAATAATATAACGTCAAGCCAAACAAAATGATCAGCCACCTTAGGAATAAAGCATGTGTGCCACGCATACCAGATTGGTCAATGGTTAGGGGCCAGACAAACTCAGTCTCCTGGTCCTCCAGGTTGGGGTTGGAAGGAGGGTGGCACCTTATTCCTTAAAACGGACTCTTTGTAGCCCAACGCCATACCCGCTGCCTTGCGGTCAGGTTTTTGAACCAAAGGCTCTGGCTGAGAATCCCGAACAGTCCTCCTGTTTAGGTCTGGGCAGCCTGACAGTTTCCCGCCCACGCATTACTATGAACCTTTCCATAAATAATTTCCTGATGCTATGGCACCACCGCAGAAGATAATCAACAGTGCCCTAACTGCTGCATCGAGCAGAGTGGATATGGGTTTGGATGCTACTGCTCAAGCCTTCCCGTCTTCTTATTCCCCTTTCTACGCGTTTCAACCTTATCGTCTCGTTCCAACTTCACTTCTATCCCCCGTTTTCAACCCCACAATTCTTGGTCCTCCCCCATCATGCTTTGATAAGCATTTATCTTATAGTTTCAACTCACATGTAAATGAATAGCGTCACGCTTGCCTTATGGACAAGCCCAAGTCTAACCAAGCGGTTAAGCCCAGTTCATCGGCCTCTATGTGGAGCCCCGATCCTCCCTCAGATTCGCATACCTCAACGTACGCATATTGTTACAGATCGATTAACAGGTAGCCCTTTCCAGAACATTAGTGACCCTCTCGATCTATATCTGCCACCTATCGGAAACCCGCCTACAAGACCCGAGCTCCGTTCTTACTTTGCGATCCCCTTCAGGTGACACTAGCGGTGCTTGTTCATTGTCTATGCGGAGACGATGCAGCTTCGTGTACCGGCCAAAGCGGTGTTGGTATTGCTCTGAATCCCCGGGCTGAAGCTACTCTAGTTGATTGGATCCCAATCAATAGCCGGATGTGTGCGGTCTGACTGGCTGGCTAGTTCAAAGCCTCGAAGCCGCGCGGGCTGATAGCTATCTGTTATCGCTGCACACGCTTCTACAAATTGTAGCAATGACTCGGTAAAGAATGACTTCTGTCGCCAACTGAACGAGTTCCTTCACCACAGAAGAAGCAAGGACACTGAACTGTTTGTTAGATAGTTAAACGCTCAACTTGGAAAATGTTCACTGATGAACTGCATCTGGGCGGCCAACATGGTGTTGGCGCCCGTAGTGGTAACGGTGAGCAGTTACTTCATTTGTATGAAGATGCGCGGTTATTTCTTGCGAGCAATAACTTCCGACATAGTATCCGCCGAAGAGTGACAAGGCATCCATCAGCCTCGAACCAGCCATGGACGCAAATCGATCACATCGCGATCCGTTATCGCTGGAGAGGCTGCGTCCAAAGCTATCGCTCGGTTTGAAGAACATGTGTGGACACTGACCTTGCACTTGTATGTGCTGATCTGCGGGCGCGTTTTGGTGGTCGCTCTCTACGACCCTGTGGGCGCATAGACACCAGCAAATTGGCGAAGCCAGATGTTCTGTATGCGTATCGAAGTGCGCTGGTGTTCGGGTTGAGCAAGCGCTCAGTGAATACCACTGATGGTCACTGGTCGCATGTTCATCAGACCTTATTAGCAGCAGGTAAATCATTATGTGGTAAATCCACTAGCCAAAATAGATATTGGGCCTCTTTGCAGTCTCTGGAACTTATGGATGCTCGCCGGCACATTCCGGCTAGAAGCGAACACATGGAAGTTCGCAGAAAACTCCGGGCAAAACTACGTGTTAGCCTGAAGAGAGTCCGCGAATTCTGGTGGTCTCACTGTGCTTCAGAGATGGAAGTAACCACTGCCCTTGGTAATCATCGAAAGTTATTCCGTCTGATAGGGGAAATGAGAGACAGGAGACCTGGTGTTAGTGAAACTATAAGTGACGAGAGTGGACACCTTATTCACAACTTGTCAAAACGCTTGGAACGTTCGGCTGAGCACTTTGAAACGAAATTTAATTGGTCGGAATTGTTAGATTCCTTACCGACCAGTGATCGCCATGCTCCCTGGGCTTTTATTTTCGATCCGCTCTCTCGCTCAGAAGTCGAACGTGAGATCGGACTATTGAAGTTGAATAAAGCCGCAAAACTAGATGATCTCCAGCCCTCTTCGAATTCGGGGGTCCTGCTCTTATGGATGATGTACATGAATTACTAGTGAAACTGGGGGAGCAAGAAACTTCCGACAGACTGAGGCCGCTCCGTTATTGTCCCGATCTTCAAAGGAGGCTCGCGTTCGAATGCGGCAACCATAGATGAATCAATCTGATCCTTTACAGCTCTAAGTTACTTGCCTGTCTTCGCTCACACACTGACTGGCGATTGTGAAAGTCAGATTCGTGAGGGGAAAGCCGGGTTTCGTCGAGGTCGGAGATGCATCGACTACATATTCACACTGCGTCAGTTGTTTGAGCATCATCACATGTATTGGTGGCCCACCATTGTCGTGTTCCTCGACATCAAATGTGCCTTTTATTCGGTGGATCGAAGTGCTCTTTAGGACTGTCTACTCAGAAAAGGTGCCCAATAAATATGTAAATATTATCCGAGTGCTCTACGCGCGTAGCTCGGGCAGAGTGAATGCTTAAGGCAAGCTGGCGCTACCCTTCAATATCTATAGCGGCATGAGACAAGGATGCCGCTGTCATCATTCCTCATCAACTTCACTATTGACGAAGTCATGGAGATCGTGTTCAAAGGACAGAATTTAAAAGGTGTGGAGTTGCTCCCAGGAGAACGATTTCATAAATTGGAGTATGCTGATGATATTACCCTCATCCGTGACGGCTCCCGAATGTGCCAAGTGGCTCTGGTCAGATTAGCACTCGCTATCAACCGTTTCGGACAATGCTTTGCACCCACAAAGTGTAAAGCTTTCCTCCAAGATTGGCAGAGACCGCCTCCTGCGCCGACCCTTGGTGGGGATCAGCTAGATGTCGTTCAAAAGTTCAACTACCTAGGTGGTATCGGCGCCACTGGAACTGAAGCCAAGGTCATAAACCGTACAGAAAAAGCACGAGGCTCTTTCGCTAACCTTCGCCACCTATGGCGCCGGCGAGATATCACTCTCTCCCTGAAGGTTAGAGTGTGCATTGCGGCCGTCCGTTCGACCTTACTGTATGGTTGTGAAACTTGGCCCATTAGATCAGCCGACATAAAGAGGCTAATTACGCTCGACCACCAGTGCTTTCGCAGTTCGGCTCACATCTGGAGGGGGGACACTGTGTGACCAATGAGCATGTTCGACGCCCTGGTTATGGTGCAGGAAGAAGAAACGAACCGCTCAGCACCGTTATTTCACGCACCAGGCTCCGATAGCTGGGCCACGTGTGGCGAATGCCAGCCCACCGACTCCCGCAACGTGCTTAGGTTGCGCGCCGGGGGTGCGGATGGAAGAAGAGGGTGGCCAAGCGATGACTTGGTCAAGAGGAATGCAGATCATTATTTCGAAGTTAGCCTGGGTGGGAGTATCTCAGCTCGCTGGTTGGAGACCAAAGCACGATGAACACGTTTGGCTGGATAAATTTGTTGGCATGACTAGGGCCGACCTAAATGGTGTTTGTGTTGTGAGTTTCTTTGTCCCTCCCCTCCCATTTTGCTTCCCTCTCCAACCACGATCTCATTTATTAGGCATAACATAACTCCTTTTTTGCAACACAATAGCCGGCTGTTAGCTCTCGGGAACAATGTCCATCATTTACTGGTGATAGCATGGGTGCCTGTGCTTCATGTTTTTTGCTTTTCTAATGAATTGTGGCACAATAGCTGAGGTGTTTTCCACCTGTAGCTAACGTGTACAGAAAAAAATACAATTCACTTTTGTCCATGGATGTCGGTTGAACAATAGCGCAGAAAACTCACTACATAGCCACAGAATGTGAGAAACTCGATAGCGTATAGAAAATGTGTAGCAAAAAGTAGCATGCAATGGGCGAAAACTAATTTCCCAGCCAAAGCGAGTTACTGATTCGCAACTGATTGTTGCAGCGATTGATTCCGCCCAGAGTTGCGTTCTAGTTAGAATCACTAGGTGCCAGAAATATGGTTTGCAGAACGAGCAATTTGAGCAATGCAAAAGCGAGCAGGGGGATCCCCAGTCGAGTTGACACCAAGCCCTTTGGCGATAGCTTACCTCTTTTAAACTGATTTTACCCCATTTTAACGACCTCATCTGTCTGTCTAATTGATGTAACTGCTATATTATTGTAATAGCCTGAAAAAGAACTATCGAAAACATATGTCCGCTAACACTGACTCTTGGTCCGTGAATAGTTCAACGGGAGAAAGTGGGTGCTAGTTTGATCTGCACGCCTATGTGTGGACAAGAGCCAAACAGTAAAATTCGGTCTAGTTAGTCAGAGTGATGAGATCGATCAAGTGTGGCAGAGACAGTTAGAGGAAGATAAAGAGCAAGAAAGAAAAAGAATTAAAATGGATTTTGTGAAATACAAAAACTCTTGGACTGTCAGTAACGGAATGAGTGAAAGTAACATATGAGGGAATAGTTTAGTGTTAGTATATGCACAAGTGCACTATGATGAACTGATTACAGAAGTCCTGCGTTGATCTATCCGTACACCCAAAGCTGCGCTTCGGAGCACGCGCTGTGTGATTGAACTGCGATACGTAATATCTACTATGATCTCTGTTAAGTTTGAAGCAGATCACTGTGATCGATCACAGCCGTTTGTAACGCGAGAAGTGGCTGCACTGAGGACGATAGAGGTATGAATCCAAAAAATACAGTATACGACAAAGCGGTGAGCATAATCAGGAGATGAGATAGTAGCAGATGACCTCCGCCGGAGAACCAAAGCGAATGAAAAGCCAAATCGATTGATTTTGTTTCTGAGGTGGATAGTGAGCCTGAGCATGGATTTATTCTGAATGGCCAAAAAAATTGTATCCGCAACAACTTCAACATGAACAAAGAGTAGTTGGGCGCTAATCGGAATACGCCACCCTTACCTGTGTGTCACAGAGGAAGGCAGAAGAACATGGTAGCGAGACTATCCTAATGTAAGCAAAACTGAACGGAATCAGAATGTAGTTACTTTGGATCCTCTATGATCGACATGTTCAACGAATTCAAAAAGTTTCGGATTCCCTGAAAAGTAAAAGAGACATGGCGAAAATGGACTGTAATCGAACATGAGGTCAGATGCACAGAACGTATAGTGTGGATAACGAATTGGCCAACTGGGAGTTAGTTGAGCTACGTAAGGGTCTTGTTGATTCATTGATTAACCAAAGCACTTCACTTACTAATGAGTGGGGGGGTTGATGAAATTTTGCTGATTCCTAGCAGCTGCTCATAAGCCAGATAGTCTAACATCAATAAAGAAAAGCCCCAGACGATCGCTTCATCCTATTAGGACCCGCCAGCGCTTTGCACCAAAGAGCTGTAAGGTACGTTACTGTAAACCTGAGGCGCACACAGCAAAAAGATTGACCGGTTTGAGGGAACGAAAAGACCGTTATAGCATAGTTTGTGTTATTGACGAAGCTAAACGACAAATGTGTTGGATCCTCCCTTAAACGCAGAGTGGAACGTGACGCCGGAAGGCTGATCGCTGTCACCTGCATGGCAGTGGAGGATGGGTCGGGCTATATCGCATTTAGCTAACAATTCATGATAGTCGGATACCGTCCTCCATCGCGCAGTTGCAGAAGCTGCGGGCTAGTTGGCAAGAGCCACTAGCAGTCATGGGTTCGATCCTCCACAGAGGACCGAAGGATGAGCACCACTGATGAGCCCCAATAGGGCGAAACGGCCGTCTGATGCTTTTCCGGATAGCTGGTCGACATATCTGAATTGTCGGCTGATTGCGACGAACAAAAAAGACTATCACAAGTTTAAACCTAATCAAAAATTGTTTCCTTTACAATAGCTAGGATATCTTTTGATCTCAACTATGAGTAAATATTATGGTGGTACCAATCGCTTGGAAGTAGGCTAAGCCAGGAACTCTAATTGGACTATTCTGTGATCAAGTAAGTAGGTGGGTTCGGCCTTGGTAATAGAGTACATGTGGGCACCTTAGACGCAAGTAATATTTTGGGCCTAGCTAGGAGTAAACAACCGATGCCGCAACGTATTCGCTTTGAGTGCGTCAAGATAGTATCGGGACCCTAATTGCCTACAGGGTTGTGACGGGTCAATATAATCTAAGAGACAACGCGAACAAACTGTATGCTCCATTGGGAAAGATTTTAGCTCAATTAATTTGGAAGGAAGGTGAGTGCCGGTAACCACAGCACGCTAAGGAACAAGGGTTTATGTGCTGCAACGAGCAGAGAGAAAAAGATATGCGCAAGTCACTAGGGCCGTTGGGAGAATGTGCACCTATGCTGGTACATACGACTTCACGCATACAACGATTAGGGAGTTTGCTTAAAAAAGCACACTAATGCAGGAAAGAATGGGACATAACGCTAAACCTAGTTATAATCTGAACGTCGACAAGTGGCCAGCAGTGAGTGGGTTCGTGACCTAATAACATCCATCTGCTAAATGTTCTAATATTATCTAACAGAAACCCCTTTATTGAGGCTGACATTTTGGCATACCCTCAGCCTACGACCTAAACACTTCCTGTCCAGCCGTGCGTGGACGCTATATTCGAGTAACAGAAACGGTAGCTCGCAACACAATGTCCGCGTGGTCGTTAGAAGGGGAGCCAAGCTGCAAGAGAAAATTACCGGTCACAGTTCGTGACTTAATTAGCTTTTTCGGACCGCTTGCATTCGTCGAAGTACAATATCCACTTTATATTGACGCAGTATAACAGTCATTTGTGCCCGATGCACTCACCTACTCGTTGAGATGTTAACTTCACAAATATGCTGCTTACTACATCAGCTAGACCGAGAATACCAACGTATTGGTATATAGCGTATAATTTTCCTCGGACCTTAACGAAGTGTTTCTGTAGGATCTCTAGAGCAGCAAATTTGGCGTGTATTAACGTTTCACCCGTGTCACTAGTACATCTCGTTAATAACATAATGCGTGCCTGCATTTCTAGTTACTTTAAAGTTTTGTTAACATGAATTCCTATCGGATTGTAAATACGATTCGTATGCTGATAAAACCCGCACTGTACAATTTTGATACCAGCGGTTGATATAACCGTTAGACGAGTATCCCTGACGAATTGGTCAGAATAACATAGATGTTCAGCGGCCGTAGTTAGGGCTCTTGCGATTAGGCCATAACGGATTGGTTGTGAGAAGACCAGTCAGCACGTGATACCATCGCATTGTATGAGTAGGGTAGGAAAATTGACAGCGTGTCTAGACATCAGATGCAGTCAACTTTAGTGCTAGATACAGTAGTACGCTAAGATTTCCAGCAGTAATTCGAAACCGTCTTTGTGAAAGCCACAAGTCTTAAGCTTGGATTCACGGTAGAATAGAGTGCAAAATACACATTGCTTTGTTTGCAAATAATATGCATGACGACTACCACCACCCTTAGATGAAAGGATGGTCATCGGACACTGAGGATTGCACAGACCAAATATTCATGAAATACAGTCGTGTAACCTTTGTACACGAAGTAAGCTGAAGAACTTAGGGTTTGTCAGTACCCAGGTTTTGTTAAAAAACGAGCGACACGTACACGCTTATAAAGTGTATGCGTACTCCAAAACAGTATTGAATTCTCACTGTATGTTGTCATCGCGTCACACACTATCGTAGACGGGGTGGAGGTGAGATTTTGTATGCTCAATCTAAGTCACATCGTAATCGCAGATGTCGCGTGGCTTTTATTCGCTTTATTGACCTAAATCCAAGATGAGTAAGCAGCTGCACCGATCCACAATAGTTTGCGGTTGCAACACATCGGAGCGTGTCGGGTGGTATTTTGATGAGCAAAACTGAATGAGATGCAAAAGTATACAGGCTACATAGGACGAATACAAGTATTTTGAAAGCAATGTGTATCAGTTGTGGTAACAAAAATAAGCTCCATCGAACAACGGGGTAAGAGTAGACTACTTGAATGTATCAGCGAGGAAACACAAGGGTGTTTGACTAGCGTCGAAATATTGGGGGCTCTGGACATCTCTATAGTACACGCAACGCGACGGCGGTTTGCTGAAACACCTGTTTCGATCTTGTTGATCCAATCATAAAAGTGTTACCGAAATCGTGTTGACCTGTTCTGTAAAATTAATACTATTGACGTTTTCAAACTCAGTTAGTACTGTGTTTTAGTAGTTGTATGGTTTATAAGATTTTTGTTCGGCGTCAGCGTTATTGGTTTTTCGGATAAGGACTGAAATTTTTGCGGAGGACTTGATAATTGTTGACCAGAATAGTGCAAGAGAGATGACCCCATTTAATGGCGGCCGAGAAAAGTAAAAGTGCAATGTGTTTTTCGCGGAGCAATGCAAGAATCTGCTACGTCAAAAGCAAGCACAGCCAGAGGCACCGATGAAACTGTTCGAAAATTTGAAGCGGCAGCTCAGTCTGAAACCTTCAGAAATAGCTTCGCAGGAAACGCAGGCGAGTTCTACGGGTTTCCTCTCAAGTTTAACTACAAAATTCAACCATAGCCATGGTCCCAGATGCAGTTGCGATGTACGGTTCAAACGGTAGGAAGATACAATCCGGACAGCTCTCAGTGTGAGTGCTGCTCTGTAAGCTTGGTACAAATGAATATGCAATGTCCATTGATCACATATTACCAAAGCAGACAAAAGACATAGAGTTTGAAGATTCAGTGTCACGACTCAGTGTAATTTTCGGTAACGCTTCCTCATCATTCAGTATTCTCCATTAATATATAAAAACTGTTAAGCGAAGTACAGACTGAGGCGCTATGAAACATAGTCAGTTATGAGCATGAATGCTCCAAGTTGTGTTTATCGACGGCTAGTCAATTCAGTCCTCATAGAAATCAGCGCGCTATAGTCCTAGAAAGGTGACGAAATTCGCGTGCAGCTGCTGCCTGAGTTGGAATGAGACAAACGTAGGACGCTGAAGTCCCTCACTGTTAAATGCAAGTGATCACTGGCGATTAAACATGGCGCCACCCTAGTCGAGAAGGATCCTTCCGTTTGGCTGCAAAATGTTCTTGCGGTTACAAGTGCGTAGCGAAATGCGCCCCACAAGCCAACGCGGAAATCACAGAATCAACCCGCTATTGCCTGTTGGTCACACGGTACGTTGTATTTTGCCAAAGTCTATTCATTCAAGAGGCGTACTTGTCAAAAATCCCACAAATTGGGCCATAGGGAAGAATATTGCCGCCGTCCCCGACCTGAGAACATGAAGATGTCCGACCAAAAGAAGAAACAGAAGAAGACAGGCACTGAAGCCCAGCCATTCGTTGCTGGTTTTCACAGTGACAATCATGAGTGTTGAGAATGATGGAGGAGAAACATCGAGATGAAGATCAACAATTTAAACGTTTTGCCCTAAGAGGACTACACTATTAGAAATTAAAAGTGATTGCAGCATGAGTGATAGCCCAGCAATGCACCCAAAAAAGGAAAAAGAAGCGGATAGGTAGATAATTTCTAGCACTTTAGTGTAACACTTGGAAGGGTTCAGGCAGCTCAACCAGATAAATTCCTGTTTATGAAAATTTGTGGGAGTCGACAATCAACATAAAAAACGCCTCTTATGGAACTGAAATCCTCAGAAAAAATGGAAAACGGCCACTGGAAATGGGTTGGTGGCTGGACACCAAAAATAATTAAGAGGTGGCGAAGAAGCTAGTTTTCAGCCGCTCATCATTAAGCTATTACAATCAGATGCCGCCTGTTGTCGACAGCAGAAGTGATTGCAATTCGGCTTCAAAACCCGAAAACACATGTACGAAGAAATGTGTACAGGCTCTCGGAACACCTTGGGGTCACAAACCACCACGACTAACTATGGTGGTCATATTACCTTCGTCGAGTTCGCCTTGACAACACCAATCGCACAGCCATAAAGATCATACATTTCGTTCCGGTGACTCATTGCGTCTGATGTTCATGTCTTTACTACCTTCTCAGTTGCGGTTGCAATCCCCTAATGAGGGACTACTGAAAGCAAACTTCTTAGCTACCTTTAACTCCCATATCTAGCTCGGAAATTACACTCAATTAAAAGTAAATAAAGTTACCAGTTCAAAGCTCGATTCGTCAATCCGCGAGAAATGAGCAGACAGTTCAACCTGTTCCCCCGTGATGTGCAGCGAAGCAAATCTCTTCCGATATGCATGCGGCACTAGCCGAAGCAAGAGCGCAATTGCATGGGCTTGCAGATCAAAGTCGCCAAAATTTACGAGGTTGGCTCCAAAGTTGCAGCTAAAGGAGAACTTTGATTGACGTGTACCATAAGGCATACATTGAAGCTCTGAGCTCAGTGGACTTCCAGACATGGATTCTTGATGTAGTCGTAAGGTTTGAAATTATAACGTTGAAGACGGTTAGAATCTGAGGATAAATAATAAAAACAAGTTACCCATTGGTGCGACGAGTAAAACATGACGTACGAAGCCAAATGTATGGTATACAAGTGGGAAGATTCTGCAAAACATGAAAACAAACACTTTACTAATTAAATGAACGGCTGTGTAGAATCTTGTCAGAGATTGGGACTACGGTAAGGATGCTGAAATTACATTAATCACTGGTAGGTGTTTTTCGTCGGCGCAGCAATCGCACGTAAATGAAGCATTGGGATAGCAAAAACACCGAACATCAAGCTACGGAAATAGCTTTAGAGCCCACATTCTGAGTTCGTTAAGCTAAGTAACCGTCTGGTACAAGCAGGCACCCGGTGGCACTGAAAATGGATTGGATGTCGGATGCTGTGAGGCAACATGCGTGGTGATTTACATGGCAAGAAAGTGCTGGTCGGTAGTACTATGCCCAGAAGAGAGAAAGAGTTTAACTTTGCCTATTGGACCTTAGCACATTTGCTCGGAAATGGAGAATAGTTCCTGCTTGTGGATGGACAGAAAGCCCTTTACGCAAGTTGTGTAGCCAGAAAATGGTTTCCGTAAGCTTTCAATGAGGTGGAACCTAATAATATTAACAAGAACGGCGATTCCTGTAGCAGTGTGCCAATGGGACGACACACTAGCATAGCATGATATTTTGCATGCAGTATGAGAAGTGCAACACCAGTGAGTGGAGCCTATGAGATGAATACGGAACCAAAAGTTTGCTACAGTGGTCAAAGAGTAGAGCATAGCTAGATTGATCTTAATGTTCGACGTCGTATTTGATATTTGGAGAACCTAGTTGACTCACTTTCATAAAAGTTATAGAGCAATTAGTTGGAACCGTCGCAACGAGACTGGATCTTAGCGTGTTGCGACTGTTTGTGTACCTCATTGACCCATTGAGCTATACTGGGTGATGCCTCCGGGCACCTTGAAATCTACTCCTAACAGGTTGGTCAATGGTGAGAGGTCAGACAAACTCAGTCTCCTGGTCCTCCAGGTTGGGGGTTTGAAATGGAATGGCATCCATTTCTGTAAAACTAAATCATTGCCACAATCCAGATGCTTTGCGGATAGGCTTTTGAGCCAAAGGCTTTGGATGAGGACCCTAATCGTCCTCCTGTCTATGTCTGAACGCCCTGGCAGTATCTCAGCCCACATATAACCATGGCATCTCCTTCAATCATAAACTTCATCCTGCATCGGCCGTCGCGCAGATTATCAAGGGTCGCCTTATCTGCTGTATACAGCATGGCGGATAAGCGAAAACATGCTACTGCTTGCGCCTCCCTTCTTTTTTCCACTTTTTTCTCTTACTCCCGTCCCAACCCCCATTACTAACCTTCCTACTATAATTCCCAGCTTAATTGACAGCAACTGAAGTGCCGCTGGAGTAGAACCATCTGCAGCCACCATCCCACCGCACCTATCGGACGCCTATTGGCAAAAGTCTCTTATAAGCCGAAACTGTCCTGTTTCCATGGCGATGTTCAACGTTCGCACCCTAAGACAATGAGGTCAACAGACTGCACTCGCACGCACCTTGGACACACTGGGTATTGATGTGTGTTGTGTGTCCGAAACTAGGGTAAGTGACCCTAACGGGGTTGTTGAGTTAACTGCACCCGACTTATCCTCCCGTTATTGGTTGCACACAGCCGGAGACGTCGATGCAGCACTCACAGGTCAAGCTGGTGTAGGTATCATTCTAAGCTCCAAGGCTGAGCCATCGTTGGCTGATTGGATTCCGGTGAACAGCCGTTTATGTGCAGCCCGTTTGTAAACATCAGCCAAGGTTGATTCACGAAGTAATACAAAACGCTGTGTGTTCGTGATTTCTGTTCATGCACTCACCGAGTGCAGTTCTAATGTTGTCAAGGACACATTCTATCACGAACTGAACGCGCTACTACGCAGTGCTACTTGTTCAGATATTATAGTACTTGAAGCGGATATGAATGCACAAGTAGGGCGTCTGAGCTCTTCAGAAGCTCAGCTGGGTGATACTTGTGGGCTTAACTCCGAACATACTGACAACGGTGAGCGTCTGCTACAAATGTGGGCGGAGCACCAGTTGTTTCTTAGTAGCACTGCTTTTAGACACGGTGGGAGTCGAAGTGCCACTTGGCATCCTCCTGTAGCTGGCCAGCGATGGATCCAAATTGACCACATAGCCATAAGTTACAGATGGCGTGGTTCCAACCAGGATTGCCGCTCGTACTGGAGTACCTGCGTGGGCTCTGATCATGCCATGTTACGCTGTCGTTTCTCCATGAACTTTACCGGGAAGCGCACCAAGCGTTCCCTCTGATTGGCAACTGAGAAATAGTCTCAGTCCTCGGTCAGGCAAGCCTAACAAGACGCACTGCGTACCGAACTTTCGCCGCATTGTCCTAATGACACTGAGCATCAGTGGAATAGGATCCCGGCCGCCAAGGACGACGCAGGAGCATCTGCTTATGACACCATCGATAGTCACCGCACAAGTCACTGGATATCCGAGAGGTCAATGAACTTGTGGGAATCTAGAAGACACCTGCCGGATGGATCTGAACACAATGTGATCAGACGGGCTGTTAGACGTGAACTAAAGCAGAGCATACGTGCTAACAAGGAAGTCTGGTAGACCAATCAGGCTCAAGAGATGGAGGAGGTAGGAGCGGCAAGCAATTACCGCAAGCTCTTCCAGCTAAACCGCACCACTGGTCCCAGAAAACCAGGCGTCAGTGAGACAACCAGAGACAGCGCGCGTGAACTAATACACAATAAGGAGCGCCGTATAGCTCGTTGGGCGGAACACTTTCAAGATAACTTCAGCTGCCACGCTGCTCCCGGACTTCTTCCTACTCGGATGATGTACGAAGAGCCATGGACGGTTAGTTCAGAGCATCCGTTGGAGGCCGAGGTCCGAAACGCGATCACAGCCTTTAATCGTTTTCGTGCTGCCGGCCCGGATTCCCTCCCACCTGCACTATTTAAGGATGGAGGTGAGGTCCTCTGCAAAGCACTGACCGCCCTATTCGAACGTATCTGGAAGGAAGTGAGTGATCCTGCTAGTTGGAGCGAATCGATTATAGTGGCAATATACAAGAAGGGCAGTCACACAGACTGTTCTAACCACTGGGGTATTAGCCGAAAGCCTGTTGTGATAAAATCACTGGACTTGATTCGCATTCGTCGCCTCACTGTGGAACGGGAATCTCGGATTAGGGAAGAGCAGGCAGGTTTCCGCTCAGGACGTGGCTGTATAGACGATAAATTCACCTTGCGGCAGGTGCTAGAGTAGCGCCACACATACCGCAGACCGACAATGTCTGTGCTCCTCGATTTCATGACTGCGTTCGATACAATCGATCGATCGATTCTGTTCAAAATACCTGGGCGGAAAATTGTTCCCACGAAATACGAGAACATCCTACGTGCTCTATACTCGAACACTACAGGCCGCGTCAGGGTCTACGGTGGCCTATCGGATAGCTTTATGACCACAAGTCGCGGTTGTTAGGGTTGTCCGATTTCCGTATTTTTGTTCAATTTCGTTGTGGATTCTATCATGGAGTGTTCCCTTGGGGAATCACAAGATGCAGGCGTTGAAGTGTTGCTTAGTGAAAGGTTAGTTGATCTAGATTATGCGGGCGCTATCGTCTTGATTTAGACGATGTTGTGGCAGCACAATCAACCCTGAATAGCCTGTCCAGAGTGGTCACATTATTTGGTATGCACTTCGCACCTTTGAAGTGCAAAGCATTGCTGCCGGACCACCAGCCACTTTATGCCCCCTTGACCCCTGCTAACGAGGAACTCGAAGTGATTGATCAATTCATTTATCTTGGCAGCTGCCTCAAAAACGATGGATGCATAGAAACTGACGTCAGCTCAAGCACTGCAAAGACCAGAACTGCGTTCTTGAACTTGCGGCATCTTTGGCGACAGAAGGGAAACTCTCTTCGTCTGAAAGGCCGTATATACAAGGCTAGAGTGAGGGCCGTTCTGCTCTATGGTAGTGAGACTTGGCCCCTTCGGTCTGAAGATCTGAGGCACCTTCAAGTCTTTGATCATCGTTGTCTGCGAAGCATTGCTGATGCCGGATGGCACCACCGTATCCGCAACGATGATGTGCTTAGGCGAGTAGTAGGTAGTGATTATCATGCAGCTCCCTAGAAGAACAAATAGCACTGAATAAGTTGCGTTGGCTCGGGCACGTGCAACGTAGGCCTGGCCACCGCTTACCTAGGAGGGGCTTGTTCAGTTTACCAGGTATAGGGTGGCGCAAGGCTCCAGGTGGACAGAAGTTGACTTGGCAGTCGGAAATGAAGTCACTGACGACCAAACTGGGTGCCGTTGGTCCGTCTCGCCTTCCGGGTTGGAATCCACGTGACTCACCTTGTGCTTGGCTCGAGACTTCAGAGGACATGGCTCACAACCGACACCAGTGGCGCGTCTGCTGCCGTCTCCTAATCGGATTGTCTGTTTAAATTGTGTTTGGTGCTGAGTTATCTGCGGGTTAGTGGCTGATTATGACGCGTAGCAGTGAAAGCCACAAGGAAGCTGTCTCGCCGATGCCGCCTTATCTTTGCACGATAGCCAGCTGTTTGTGAGGGTATGTTGTCCATACAAAGTGTAGGCGCCTTGACCCTGAATGTTAGCTTAGGGCATTAAGGTCTTCAGGTCCACATGGTTGTATGGCAGCGAAGCATCAGTTCAAATGGCTGATGTACTGTTGTTGATGATGATGAATTAGTTGGAAATTTAGACCCATTATCAAAAGGAAAGGTCGTACACGTGTACTGAAAAATTGCTTTGTGGTGAGTGGTTACCGGTCACGATCCCCATCAGTAAAAATGTTAAAACAAGTCTCGCGAGCAAATTCGTGAAATTTTTCGCGTGCCACTGGCCCAGAACTGCCGTTAGGCAGCATAACTCTTCTGCTACTGATCTTTGTGAGATTGCTAGGTAAAAATTAGATTAGCTTTCGTCCCCGTAGCG